AAGGCAGTTATCATAAGATCCTGCTCAAGTGGCTGAGCTAGTTCTCATTAAGCTAAACACGTGAATATTTGTAACATCGAGATGCTATGAGGGTTGTGGAGTTGAACCCCAGTCATGTATGTGTTTCTCCCAATTATTGTCCCTCTCCCCATGCAGATTAGCAGTAGGTAGCATAGACTTAATTGAAAATTTTGAGTTTGTGGTCTCCAATTTCTACCAAGTGATCAGGTCATGGCTAACACAGTCATGAAGCATGACTAAGCAGAGAGGTGCTGGCCCATGTCTCCCTTGCCTATTTATTTATTTATTTATTTATTTAAATTTACTGTACCTCCTAGTTTCTGGGAAAGAGTAAGAACCTACTTTAGTAGGAGTCTGGCTCCAAGTTGCAATACTACCTCGTATCATAAAAATAAGAGAAGTTTGTTTTTCCTTTGTATAATGCTAATTAATTAACACAGATGCCAGAGAAATTAGTAAGCCAGATTTCCCAGACACGAGTGGGTGTGAGGTTCTTAGGGTTCTGCTGAAGTAAGCATTTTCAGAAGCCACCATGGGAGAATGAGATGTGGTAAAAGGCTTTGTCTGTGTGGAGTTACATTCCTCAGGGAGCAAAGTCTCATGCCGCTTAGCCCAGTCCTGGAGAAGGTGCAGCTGGGGTTCCAGGAGACCAACAGGAGGACTAGTGTCCAGAGCTCCCGCTCCATGCTGCCGCCAGGTCCAGCTCAGCATTCAGCCTAATTAAAGCCCATTAGTCCGGTGTGTGAGTCCCACATGGCCATGGGCCACACGGGCGCTGGGAGTGCACCCCTTGCAACAGGAGCCCCAAAAGGCCAGAGGGCCCAAGGCCAAGGGAGGCAAAAAGGGAGGAACTCCCTTTGTTCCGAAGTTTAAATATTCAGGTTTCTGGCCCTTGTCGTGGCCAGGCCTATTCTGTCCGCTGACTTACTCCCAGGTGTGACTGACAAACAGGCAGGCACTTTCTCACATCATTCAGACCTTCCTGGACATGCATCCAAACTGCCTTTGTCCAGTCACTCCCCTCATACATCAATAGGGAACAGACTTGGACAGTGTTAAATTAGCATAGCTATATAAATGGCATGCCTACGTTATCTAGTCTTTCCTTTGCTCCTTTCCTGTTAAATAATAACCAAGTTATTACAATGGTATCATAACTATCAGGTGAATTTAGGATAAACCTTGTGTAACAAATGGTGCCATCCTGTCCTCTCACTGGAAGATGAGTTATTATTTATCTTAAGAACATGGGTTGTATCTGCTTAGCTATATAATCTCTTATTGGATTGCCAGTGATGCATATCACACTGGTACACAATTCTTAATCAGTAATAAAGGTGTTTTCTTTCGCCAATACCTTTGTGGAGAGCTTTTCTGGATTGGAGGAGTTTTTATTTTTTTGGATATGTTAGGATATGTTTATTTATTTTAGAGAGAGGGAGGGGGAGAGAAAGAGAGAGAGAGAAAAAAACACACACACAAACAAACAAACATTGATGCGGGAAAGAATAGTTGATCGGTTGCCTCCCGTACTCGCCTTGCCTGGGAATGTGTCCTGACCAGGAATTGAGCCTGCAACCTTCTGATATACACGATGATGCTCCAACCAACTGAGCTACCTGGCCAGGACAAGAAGATATTCTTTTTAATTAATTGTATCTTCTCTGGAGCTTCTGGCTACCATTTCAAACTTAGTAGGAGTAAAACTGCAATCTGCCTCGAGTTTGTGGGGAAGCACAGGACTTGGCTGAGATGTCTGTGGGGAGGATTTTCTGAAAGGTCAGGGGTCTCTGAGGAGACCTTGCTGAAGGTGGCAGCCCCTGCCTTGACTTTTCCAAATAAGTCTGATCCCACAAGCTGTTTTCAAAAATCTCTGGTTTTTTAGACCCGACCTGTAGAAGCATATACTTTCTCAAAGATACGTACCCTGCTGGTTGTATCTAGAGGTTAACTTTAGTTCAAGTTGTTATAACAATAAAAGCCAAAAGAGACAGGCAAACAGGGATACTTGGTGACAATAGTCAAGTAGTGCCTTAGCCCTCTCTTTCACAAAAATGTGTGTCAGAGTAATCTGTTCACCCATCCCTTGTTCAGGGTCTGCCGGTCAGCCCCCCGCAGGGCCAGCCCTCTCACCAGACTTATCTAGTGCTCTCAGCCATGGCATCTTCCACCAGCTGTCAAGCCTTAGTTCTTGAAGTCATCCATAATCCACCTACTCCCCATTCGAGTTAGTCACCAAGTTCTAGGCACACTTCTTTCACAGCTACCTCACATTCATCTCCTGTTGTCCCTTACCACTGCCATTTCCCAAACCAGGGCCCTCCTCATCTTCCTCTTGTTTTTATATCATGTGTCTCCTGATTCATGCAGCAAATATGTATTAAATACTTCCTATGTGTCAGACACATAGGTCCTTGTCCTCATGGGGTTTACTTGTGGGGAGAAAGGAGACAAAACAAGCAGCACATACAGTAAATATTATTATATTAGAAGATGCTAAACACTATGGGGGGAGGAGGGGTGAGCAGGGGGAGCAGGGGAAGGCTTACTGCCAGAGGCCCTGGCAGAAGAAGCAGGCTAGTTTTAAAAGGGTGGACAAGGCGGTCCTCACAAAGATGGTGGCATTCTGACAGTAATAGGGCACCATCTGCAGGTTAATCTCTGCATTACAATAATTTGTTTTAAATTTAATGAAGTTACTCTCTACTTTTGTTTTCTGTTGCAGTCATTTCAGATCACAGCAAAAGCTAACAAATTGGAGATATTAGAGGAAAACCCTAAACCCTTGTTTCTGTCTCAATATGCTTGAAACACTTTGTAACCACAGAGACTGAAGTGTGTTTGAAGGAGTTGTCACCCTAAGCTGGAGTCCCAGCTGTGTCCCAGGAATCTATCTCAGCCTCTGCCAGGGCAGGAGATCTGGGGTGGGCATATGGACCAGCAGATCCTGGGGCTGTGCTCACCTTGTTCATTACTGAGTAATCCCTTTGGTCCCGGGCACTGTCACTCTGGATCCCCAAACAGTCACTCGAACAGTGACCCCTGGGAAAGGTTGGTTACTGATGTAGTGGGCCAATGGGATACTTTGCATGATGTCTGTCAGGTATAGTTAACACAGCCCTGGGGCAAAATGTGAAGGTGTGCTGTGAACTGCAAAGAAATGTGTAATGCAAATGCAAGCTGTTTCTGATCTCCCCTGACAGGGGTAGCAAAGGGCATGGTTGCTGACCAATGGCTACCTCCCAAGTATCTGAGGCTAGGCAATCCTGCTCTGTGTCTCTCACAAAGACCGTTATTAAATTTATGGCCCACCCAGATAACCCAAGATGATCTCATTTTGAGGTCTATAACTAAATTACTTCTACAAATAAGGTCACATTAACAAGTCCTGGGGATTTGGGGTAGGTGTCTGTTTTAGGAGGGCAGGGGAGAACCATTTAACCCACTGCACGGTTCTAGTCATGAATTTACACCAAGCAAACTCAAAGGCTAACACGGGCCAAATAAACAAGGTTTAAGTGTATGTGGACCGCAAAAAAAAAAAAAGCTTCATTTTTCATAGAAACATAGGTTTATTTCGACAGAGACATGTTAAATACAAAGGGCTGAAATAAATGAGTAATCATTAACATAAAATAATAGAACATTTTAATAAAAATTAATATTTTTTCTTGAACATTAACTCACCAGACACTGAATAACTGCACAAATTAATAAGCAGAACGCAAATAAACCTATTTTTCTTGTTCTCCGAAAGCGAATTATTTCCTGTGGCTCACACCAAACAACTCAGTTCAAGACTAATGACGTGGCAATCAGCTGCTAAAACAGTCGCTGGTAGTATTAGTGGGGAGAAATGGTGCGCCTGCGCATAAGGCGAGTAAATGAAATGAATGCAACGTGGGAGATGAATGCATCTCCCGGAGGCTTTACCAGGTGGTTAAATCCTGTATCTCTGAGCAGAGTTTTCAAGTCAATAAACTCTCCCTTTTCCACATTTATGTTTTGGCCCTTGGATCAAGCACCCTCAGGATCCAGCCTGGCACCTACTCCCGGGCACTGCTGATCCGTGCTGGCCAGTGTACAGCTTTGGGGCGTGAAGCCCTTTCTTTTCCTCTAAGGCCCAGCACAGCTTTGGCTGGATTACCATGCAGCATACATCCAGTCCTACACCTAGGGGCTAGATGGGGGAGTGGGACACATCCTAGGATGCGGAACACAAGAGATCTCAAAGGGAAGAGGCTCTGCATTATCTTCAAGCAAGGAGGGCGAGTGTTAGCTCTCAATATGGAGGAATAGTCCATATTTGTGGGCTTGGATGGTTCAGAGGAAGCTAGACATTCATTATGAGGGAGGGATATCAACACACAGATATCCCATCCTATGTGTCTCACGCTGTCCCAGCCAAGGCTTTGACCTTGGCACAGTCATTCTGTCTTGGTTGGGAGTTTAGTCTTCATGGGCTCAGCAGCTTAATTGCTGGGCCTCGCCCTCAGCTTTCTCCAGCTTCCCAATGCAGATGAGATGGTCTCCGTAAGGCTTGCTGGCTACCACACTTAGATTGCAATTGTCTGGCAATTGTTTTCAATCTTTTGTTACCATTTTATAATTTTCCAGAGAAAAGGGAACTTAATTATAGCCATTCCATCCAATTTCCCCCAGGCTTTTTTTTTTTTAATTGTGATAAAACACACATTACATAAAACTTTTTATCTTAACCACTTTAAAAAAAATAATTTTTATTATTGAAAGTATTGCATATGGCTCTATTTTTTTTTTGTTGTTGTTGTTTTTTCCCCCCACCATTGCTCCCCTCCAGCCTGCTCCAGGCCTTCACCACCCTATTGTCTGTGTCCAGGGATTATGAACATATGCATACAAGTTCCTTGGTTGATTACCTCCCACCCACTCACCCTCTCCCCACTTCCCTCCGAGATTCTGCACTCTGTTCCATTCTTCCAAGTCTCTGGATCCACACCATTCATCAGCTTATTTTGTTACTTAGATTCCACATATGAATGAGATCATGTAATACTTGTCTTTCTCTAACTGACTTATTTCACTTAGCATGATACTCTCCGGGTCCCTCCATGCCGCCTCAAAGGGTGAGATTCTTCTTTTTGTACTGCTGCACAGTATTCCATGGTCTGAATGTACCACAGCTTTTCGAGAGCTTGTTTGGAGGTTCTAGCAGGGGAGTGCAGCTACTCGTAAACCCTTGACCGAAGATCGGTCCTTTCCTCTTGGGGGAAAGTCGTCCTCTTTGACCGAGCGCGCAGCTTCGGGAGGGACGCACATGGATCGGTGAGGGAGGAGGGGGACACCCGCCTAGCCAGCCAGATCAGCCGAATCAACCCTGGCGATCAATGGGGTGACAGATGTCGCAGCCAGATCGCCCTCACATCCGATGTACCACAGCTTTTTTATCCACTCATCTTCTGTAATGGTCACTGCGCTATTGTAAATTGTGATGCTATGAGCATAGAATTACATTAATTCTTTCTCATTGGTGTTTCAGGTTCCTTAGGATATATATCTAGAAGTGGGATCACTGAGTCAAATATAGTTCCATATTTAATTTGTTGAGAAAACTTCATACTGTTTTCCATATTGGTACACCAGTCTGCATTCCCACTAGCAGTGCACTAGGGTTCCATTTTTTCCACCTCCTCACCAGCACTTGTCTTTTGTTGATTTGTTGATGATAGACACATTTGACTATATACTCAGGATTGATTTCTTGGCCCTCTATGTTATTCCAACTGTTTCGATGTCCATCTTTTTTTTTTTTTTTTTTTTTTTTATGTCTATCTTTATGTCAGTACAATCCTGTTTTGACTATAGTAGCTTTGTAAAAAACTTTTGGAATCAGGAAGTGTGATACCTCTAACTTTGTTTTTTTTCAAGCTTGTTTTGGCTACTTTGGGGTTCCTTGAGAGTGTCCATATAAACTATAGGATAAATTTTTTTCCTATTTCTTCAAAAAATATACTATTGAGATTTAAATAAAAACTGCACCAAATCTGTAGATGGCTTTGGGTAGTATCAACATCTTAACTATATTCCAATCCATGAACATGAGAAGTTCCATTGATTTTTAGAGTGGAATGAGAAACAGAGAGAAACACTGATGTGAAAGAGACATATTGATTGGTTGCCTCCCGCATGCCCCTAGACTAGGGCCAAGAGCCTGCAACCGAGGTATGTGCCTTAGACCAGAATAGAATCTGAAACCCTTCAGTCTGCGGGCCAATGCTCTAACCACTGAGCCAAACTGGAGACACAGCAAGAGTCCCACTGATTACAAGCTATGCCAACTGCCTGGGTGCTTGGGGTTTCCTGTAACCAGGGTCCAGCAATAAAAGAGGAGTTATCATCTTGCAGGGGTAATTGTGACCCTGATCATCAGGAGGAAGAAAGACTGCAGTTACACTGTGGACAGGAAAGGAGATAGGTGACTCCTGTGATCCACTTGGGCAACTCGTGGGACTTTCTTGCTCAGTTGTGATGATAAATGGACAGTGCAGCAATCCTTTTGAAAAGGGCATAGTGACCAGAGTTCAAACTCCACAAGGATGAGGATCAGGGTTAAAAAGAAAAGACATAGTTGCAGCCCCTATTTTAGCAACTGGTAATGAGATTGTAGTTAATAGTTTTAATCTCCTTTTTCCATTGGCATTCAGTGTCTTCTTTGTCTTCAGCCAGCACCTCAGCTGGTTGAAGTTATTTACCTAGTGGGGTAACCCAAACATTTATTCTTGAACCTTTGATGGTCTAGCCTTTTTATGATTGGTATAGTTTTTCATTAACTTTTTCTACTGGACAGGAATTATTAAGAAGCATCCCAGAGAATCTCTTAGATACTAGACATAGTTGTCTGTATTTTCCAAATATGTTTACAACAATATCACTTATCTCACATGCTCTTCCTCAGTGTGACCTTGTCGCTCTTTCATCAAGAGGTGAAGTCTAATTTCCCTCTCACTGAATCTGGGTTGGCCTTAGTGACTCACTTATAATCAATAGCATAGGCAGAAGTAATGCCGTGTGACTTCTGTGCTTAAGATAGAAGTAGTTTTATAGCTTCTGCCTTAGTTTCTCAGATGCTCCCTTTCAAAACTTGCCACCATTCTGTGAGAAGCCCCAGCCACACTGAAGACACATATACCTGCTCTGGTTGACCATCCCAGCTGAGTTCAGTCTTTGAGTCATTCCAGTCCAGTTACCAGGCACTGAGTGAAGAAGCTCACAGATGATTCCAAGCCCAGTCATTCAAGTCATCCTTAGTCATTCAAGACTTCCCAGGGGAGGCCCCAGACTTCGTGAAATGGAGACAAAGCATCTATATTCTCCCTCCTCTGACTTCCTAATCCACAGAATCTGTGAGCATAATAAGTGGTTACCTTATACCACTCTGTTTGAGACAGTTTGAGTATAGTTGGAAATAACCGGAATTTCCTGTCTGCTTTTATCATGTGAGAACTAGAGGGCCAGTGCTCATGATTCAATTCTGGTCAATTTACTATCTCCACATAGACATGTCACTCCATTGTGGCGACAAGGGCTTATCTGCAGGGCGACCGGGGGAGGGAGGAGCCCTTCTGGCATCCGCGGGTGCCCTGGCTGGCCTGGTGCTGCTCACTCTCCTGCCCTGCCTCCCTCCCCCTACTGCTACTGCTGGTTGAGGCCTGCAGGCTGGGGGCAGCTTCTGTGTCTGCCCCCTGGTGGTCAGTGCATGTCATAGCAACCAGTCATTCTGCCCGTCATTCTGCAGTTCGGTCGATTTGTATATTAGGGTTTTATTATAATGGATGCCCAATTCTTTTTGGTGTCCAGGATAATCTCTCCAGTCAGTACAATAACTTTTACTTTCTCTAATGTTTAGTGGCATAAATGGCTGATGACAGTCTCAGTTTCCAATGAAATGGAGCCTTATATGTCCCATGGTGGGAAAATTTCTTCTCTGGGAGCTAAGACCTTCAAATAAGCAGAATCTAAATGGGGGGGCTAGAAAGAAGAAATTCTGTGAGTGGGCTATGATGTACCATAGATAAAATATCTTTCTCTTACACTTCTTGATACCTGAGCTTGTATATACTGATTATGGGAGACACAGTATGTAAATTGACTGTTAAAGTATAAACTACATCCTGTAAGAGAGAATCTATCTTTTTGGTGTGTTGTCTCCCAATTGGCATCACAATTGGGTATGCATTAGGCCATTCCATCATTTTATTGGGTTTGTCTTCTGAGTAAGATCAAAGCAGTAAATTTCATGTGTATGTTCCATTACTCTATTTTGTGTGTGTCATTGTGGGGTTTTTTTCATGTGGTGTCTTTTTGTGTGGCCTCCTGATGGACATCATAGCTGGGTCTTCAGTAGGTAATTCTACCATTTTATCAGTTTTCTGATGGCAAAACCAATGAATTTCATATTGCATAAACCTCTTGCTGCTTTTTTGCCATTAAATTAATTTCTTGATCAGAGGCAAAACTGTAAAGAATACCATGATGACACGTAAAGCATTCTTTAAGTCCAAGGATAGCAATGTTATAAGAAGCACCGCATGTAGGAGAGGCAAATTTGTATCCCAAATGGATATCTCTTCTCATGAGGAGAAATCCCTGCAGCCTCCATAATATTTACCCTAGTGATGTCACCAAGTGATACCTTTTTTTTTTTTTTAAGTGGTAGGTCTCTGCCAATGTGGAGGTAATATATTAACATGACAAAAATACCGTGTCTCCAGAAACTTCAAGTTGTTGGGCTTTGAATTTTATAATGTTTACATCCCACCTTGTGGCACTCAGGTCTTTAAGACATCCAAGATCCTGTCATGTATGTGCTCATCAAGTTCAGTTAGCATGTTCCAGCCATGTAGTTGGAACAGTGTGATGTTTTGAGATATAAAGACAGTCAAGCTCTCTGCAAATTAGGTTATGTCAGGTAAGGGAATTAACATTACCTTGGTACCACAAAATGAGAAAACACACTATTGTGCCTGCTAGGTGAAAGCAGACTGCTTCTGGAGGGCCTTGCAATTCGGGAATTGGAAAATAGCATTTTCTAGATCAATTGCTGCCTACTCAGTGTCACATGCTGAGCTGTCCAGTAAAGATACCACGTCTAGAATAGCAGCTGCCACGGGAATTGTCATCTGGTCACATTTCTAATGAGCAGCAATCATTCTCCCAGGGCTATCTGCCTCCGTGTAGGCCAGTTAAACAAGTTAAATGGAATTGTGTTAGGAAGCATCAGTTCTGCATTTTTTGAATCTTTGATGTTGTCATTAATCTCCGCTATTCTGCCATGGATGCAGCAACTGTTTACAATTTTTAAAATTTATCATTCTAGCAGGAAAGAAAAAATCCAGGGTCTTCCTTTTGGTTCTTCTTATTGTAGCAGCTCTCATTTAATGGATCACAGCTATAGTGCGGATTCTTCCAGATACTGCTATATCAAGTTTACTAGGGGTGGGCAAACTATGATTGTTATTCAAATCTGGCCCTCCTAGATGCTTCTGTAGATGTAGTTTTATTAACACGTAGACATGCTCATTCATTTACATACTGTCTGTGGCTGCTTTTATAATAAAATCACAAGCTGAATAATTGCCACAGAGATCATATGGCCTGGAAAGCCTAAAATATTTTCTCTCTAAGCATTTATAGAAGGCTTTCCAACCTCTGAATTATACATTCAAAAACTATAGTTTATAGATGAGGTGGTCCATAGACCCTCTTTACCCCCAGTGAGATGGAACTGGCTACAAACCCCATTTACTACTAAGCCCCAATTTGAACTGTGGAGTGGAGTGGTATATTCTATCTCCCAGACTTAGCAGCAGGCCAGAATTAATATCTACCTAGTAATCTACAAAAGATCCAGGTAATGCAGCTGGGTATTTCTCTTTCTACATACACAATAGCCCTAGAGGTGATCACAGATCTATTCCTGGGGCAGGTTTGAAGGAAGAAATACACCTACTATGACAGTGTTTCTGGCTCCTTCTCCAGGTCTAATAACTGGTTCTAGAAACTGGATGACAGACCGTGTCAACTCCATTGCAGCAACCCAAACCAGGTTTCTGGTCACCAGATCTGAGGTTTTTCTTGTAATATAGATTAAATTATATTTAAGTAAGCCATCATCTCTCTCTTTTTTTAATTCCTAGAGACAATGTGAACATTTAGCCATCACCAAAGATCCCTATTAGGTCAAAACATTCTGATTAAAATTTCATCTCCATTGTCTATTATGACATTTGTACCCGCTTTGACTCTGGAAGTAAAGTTGCCTCTCAAATCCCATATTCCAGTGAAAGCACATCTCAATGGCAACATCTTCCACTGTCATTTCTTTGTGTAGAACATTCATCTTCTTTTCATTCAACTTTTCAATAATGCTGACATTTCCACTCACATTTCTTAATGCCATACTTTGAGAAATAAAATGTCCTTGAATTTATTGTTGCTTCTGCAAAAACCCTACCCTATTGAAACACTGAAACCTGTATGGCTAAAGACAAAATTTTTTCACCTCCTTCATAAATATTTTACTCTTCACATTTCATAAGCCATTTTCCAGTTAACTGCCCAGATCTGAAAGGAGAGTAAAATTCTTATCTACCCTAGAGGGCCATGTGTTTACAGCCCAGACTCTGCCCTTGGCTAAGCCCTAAGATGATAGCAAAACCGAAACACTACTTCCTTAGGGATTTGTACGTCAAAAGGGGTGAAGCCTAGAATTTGGACCCATTTCTGGGTCATTACAACAAGATTCACCCAAATAAATAGATGATCGATAGATGATAGATGATAAGTAGATAGATAGATATATGATAGATGATAGATAGATAGATAGATAGATAGATAGATAGATAGATGATAGATAGATGATAGATAAGGTCCTTGGAAAAATATATTCCATTCCAAAAGGTGAGGGTGAGAACCCCAGACTCTTTTTGTCGAGTCTCAAAGGAGTAAAAGGTTTTTTCTCTCATTTGGGGAGGAGAGAAGACTGACTCTCTCTCCTCTGTCTACAAAGAGAAACTCTGTTGATCTCCAATCTTTGTAAAGAGGGTATAACCTGTGAGCACACAGGACCTTTCCATCAGCTCTCATTGCAGGACGGAGGAGTGGGCACTGATGCTGTAATGTTGCCCTGATTGTTTATCAACAAAGGGCTGTTTTTCCTGGTTCAGGTGCCACATGTTCCTGCGTAGTCACATAAGTAAAGTACTTAACTGTGTAGGTGGAGTGACACTGAGACCTTCCAAAGTCTGTAGTAAAGCACACAGTGAAGGGAGTGTCCTCTGGGCCCTCCGGGGTGTGTGCTTAGGGAAGGGGATGTGGTGGCACATGATCAACCTTCCTGATCATTCCAACATTTCTTTCTCTCTTAGTCTTTGTTTAAATTCTTTCCTCTGTAATACATAGGAAGATTTGGCATCTTGATTTATTGAATATAGACTACCATTAAATCCAAAATTTACAAAACTAATCAATTAAATTGTTAAAACCACTCCCAGATGCTCAAGCTAACATGCTGAATCCAGAAACCCCACTAAGTGCGCCCATTTCATAAGTTGACTAAGGGCATGCCATAGTTTACTCTAACATTCTTAGAATCCAGTTCCAAACATATTTCCCAGGTTTCTACCAATGTACATAGTGAAGCCTTGGATTTGGTGGGAGTTTAAGCCATTTCTTTCCAGGGTGCACTTTGGGCTTTCCTCCATAAAACATGCTGAGCTCTAACTCCAATTAGAGGTCTAAATGCACAAAGGAGTGAAGAAGTGGGTACTGGAGAGAATAAGCATCTTCTTGCAAGGTAATGGCCTCAGGTAAAGTTATTAAAAGGTTTCCAAGCAAGGGAACCTTGTAATAACTTATCTCCACACATACAAGGAAGTGTTGCTTTTGCTGGCAAAAAGACTTGAGGATTCAAAGTGCTCAGCTTTATCTAAGTGTATCCAGATGTCAATCAATGCTCTTTCATACAAGAGATTTGGCAATCTCTGAAGTCAATTTACATTGTAATTCCACCATCCACACTATTAATCTTATTTTCATTGAGGTCTACTTGTAGCTACAAAGAGAGAGAGAGAGGGGAGATATTTTTGGAGGAGTTGGCTTAGATATACTCTGCTTCTCTCATTCTGACTTCAGCTGAGTGGTCAGTGGTCTGAGGATGTCTTTTTTAACCCCTGAAAGCTCTTTAGGGATGTCAGAAATAGTCACTCCATCTGTGGTTGGCAAAATTCTAACATGGCCCCTAAGATCCCCACCCCTTTTTGTATGTTCTTTATGTAATTTCCTCCCCTTGAATGTGGGTGGAACCAGAGAATATGGTGAGATATCAGTATCCAGCCAAAAGAATGTTACAGATGTAATTAAGGATACTAATCAGTTGACACTCAGCTTATCCAAAAGAACATCATCTAAGTGGGCCTGGCCTAATCGTATCAGCCTTCTAAATCTGGGTCTAGAAGTCAGAGAAAGAGGGAGCCAGAGATTTGAAGCATGAGAGGAATTTGATGTAAAGGAGATTCTCCATTCCTGGTTTAAAGCCAGAAGGGGCCATGTGGTAAGGAATGTGGGTGGGTGGACTACAAGAGCTGAAGATGGCTCCTAGTTTACATCTTTATTTTTAATCTTGTGATCAGAGATTCCAACTATGCCTTGTCAGAACTGTTGACCTACAGAATCCGGAGCAAATAAATGAATCTTGTTTTAAGCTGCTAATATGTGGTTCTTTGTTATTTAGCAGAAGAAAACTAAGACATCAGCATATAGTCTTTTTTTTTTTTAATATATATTTTTATTGATTTTTACAGAGGAAGGGAGAGGGATAGAAAGTTAAAAACATCAATGAGAGAGAAACATCAATCAGCTGCCTCCTGCACCCTTCACTGGGGATGTGCCCACAACCAAGGTACATGCCCTTGACTAGAATTGAACCTGGGACTTTTCAGTCCACAGGCAGATGCTCTATCCACTGAGCCAAACTGGTTTTGGCCAGCATATAATCCTTTTAGAGATCATGGCTAATAATCTGTCCAGTGCAACAGCTACTTGGTCTCCCACACTTGTTTCATTAGGCATTGTATCACAATCACAAGAGGTGATAATACAACTAATTGTGAAGCCATAGCATAGCATGGATTACTGGCATTCTGATTTGCAAGGAACTTAGCACTGTGTTCAAGGCAAGGGAGGTTTCCAAGCTAATCCGAAAATCTCATCTTACCTAATAATAAACAAACATGAAAATTGACTGTACCTCCACAGCACCCAAAGCCAATCAGGTGTGAGTATTTAAATCAACCCAATAAAGATGGCCGGTTAATTTGCATATGCAGACATGGAGCAGCCAGGAGGGGTGGGATGCCTGCTATGAGGGGGAGAGGGTAGGGGAGGGAGCTACAGGAGCAGTGCTCCACCAGGAGAGAATATTTGCAGGCTCCCTGGAGGCCAGGAGTGAAGCCAGGGGAAGGAAGGACTATTCCTGCACGAATATTGTGCAACAGGCCTCTAGTATATATATATATATATATATACTAGTAGCCCTGCTCATGAATCCATGCACCAGTAGCTTGCCAGTAGCTCACTGCCAACCTCCAGTAGCTCTTCACCTGCTCCCCTGCCCTCCTGTAACTCCCCCCGCCATCCCTTGTTTCACCACCTCCTAGCTTGCCGCCCTTCCCCCTCCTGTAGCTCTCCACTGCCCACTTATAGCTCACTGCCCCACCTTCCTGCTGATCTGTGATCCAGTCATTACACTGTTGGTCTTTACACTTCATGGTGTAACGACAATTTCCATATTACATCTTTATTATATAGGATTGACTTCAGAGATGAAGAAAGAGGGATAGAGAGATAGAAACATCAATGGTGAAAGAGAATCATTGACTGGCTACCTCCTGCACACCACCTACTGGGGATTGAAAGCCTATAACCAAGGCATGTGCCCTTAACCAGAATTAAACCTGGAACCCTTCAGCCTGCAGACCAGCACTCTATCCACTGAGCCAAACCAGATAGAGCCAAGAACCTCATTTTTTATTGTGTTTTCTGGAACCACTCATGGTAGTAAGTACTCTATCATTCAGGGTCAAATCAGGAAAGAAGAAACAACATAATACGTAATATATTTCAACAGAGAGAATTCAAGAAAGGGAAATGATACCACAGGCATTGGAGGACTGAAAGAGGAAGGAAGAAAGAAAGGAAGGAAGGAAGGAAGGAAGGAAGGAAGGAAGGAAGGAAGGAAGGAAGGAAGGAAGGAAGGAAGGAAACAAGTTTACCCAAAACCAGAAAACAAACACAAGAAGCTTGGTGGAAGAATAGTGTTCCTCCCAAAATTCATATCCACCTAGAATCTGTGAATGTGACCTTATTTGGGAATAGGATCTTTGCAGATGTCAACAAGTTAAGATGAAGTCTAAGTGAATTAGAGTGGGCCCTTAATTACAATGACTGCTGTCCAGATGAGAAGGCCAGGTGAAGACACAAGACACATGAAGAATGCCATGTGAAGACACAGGCAGAAATAGGAGTGATGCTTCCACAAGCCAAGGAATGCCAAGGATTTGCTGACACCAGAAACTGGGAAGAGGCAGGGAAGGATTCTCCCCTAGAGCCTTCAGAGGGAGCTTGCCCTGCCTGGCTGCGGGTACATTTTAGGGGAGGCCAGTCTGGGAATGCTGAAGAAAATGGAATGTTGCTGCTATGGGTGAAGTACCACTTTTGGGACAACACACAAACAAACAAACAAAAAGGCTTTTCTCCCCCCTCCCCACCTCCTGCCTTCAGTCTTCCCCCATGGTCTTCTATGCTCAGAATGTAAGCTAAAACCAGCTGGCAAAGGAGAACTAGCTTGTGAAGTTCCAAATCCCAGCATCACAGTGCAATGAGAAGGTGGGTTTGAAGCTGACAGGTAAAGGTCAGACGTCAGGTATGTGTGTGTTTGTGGAGGGTTGCAGGATGTGGGTAAAGAAGTTACTGGACAGATAGATGAGCAATGCTGAGGTCACAAATATGCTGCAACCATGACTGGAACAAAGGGGACTCAGGAAGTGTCTGAAGAGAAGTTTATTCAGCAAAACTTGCTATAAGAATGAGCAGGGGGTGGAAACCTATACTTTCAGAAGGCAAATAATACAATAACAACACTACTACATTGAAAACTGCTTTTGAGTTGGCAGGCCTTTTCTTGGGTTTAAAGACAGTTTACAAAAAAGGGTCAGTCCTAAAATGTTTTTCCTTTAAATACTAATAAGTATTACCTGCAGTATTTTGTGTATTAAATCTTTTCTCCTTGGTTTTGTACCTGGATCCTGCAAGGGTGAGTCCCACCAGGTGGAGCCAAAGGCAGGTAAATGCAATCTTCTGGCACTTCCTTCCACCAACACACACACACACACACACACACACACACACACACAACCAAAACAGACAGGGCCCTCAAGCGCCTCTGACCACCCAATTCAAAGCTCTGCCCAGATTTGCTCTCTCTATAATACCCCTTCTGACATTGTTCTTCACCCAGCTGACATATGACTCAGTTCTGGTCAATTAACTAAAACAACAACAAACACACAAAAAAACAAAACCTTTCCCAGAGCTAGAAATGGCTGCTATTATTTCTTAATCAACTGCTATGTTCTAGAACTACTTCATTCTATAATCACAACTCTTTTGCTTGCAAGTAATGAACTCTCATCCACCAGTTTGAGCAACAGAGAAAATTTGTGATAAGGCTACCGTTGATCCATTCTATCTATTGATCTATCTATCTTCCTTTAAAAACTTACTTTGCTTGATTTCCAGGATACCACATTTACCTGAAATTTCTCCTACTGCTCTGGGGGCTCTTTTAAAAAAAAAAATTAAATATATTTTATTGAGTTTTTACAGAGAGGAAGAGAGAAGGATAGAGAGCTAGAAACATCCATGAGAGAGAAACATTGATCAGCTGCCCCCTGCACACACCCCACTAGGGATGTGCCCCCAACCAAGGTACATGCCCTTGACCGGAATTGAACCCAGGACCCTTCAGTCCGAAGGCCGACACTCTATCCACTGAGCCAAACCGGTTTCGGCATGGGGGCTCAGTGTAGTTTCTTTTGTTGGTTCCTCCTTATATCCCTGGAGTACCCAAGACTCAGATTTGAGAAGTTTTCTCTCTTCTATCTATACTTATTCCATTGGCCATCTGATCCGTTCTGATGACTTAGAGTTCCAAAAATAAACTGACAGTTACTGAGCAACTTATTAGTGAAAGGGGTTTAAACAAGAGTGTGGATATAGTGTTCTAAACATGTTCAGCTAGACATGATGAGAGTAAATTGAAGACCAGGAGTAAGTAGATTCACTCTTTCTAGAATTTTCAAGTGTTTTAATGTTATCTAGATTACCTAGAACATTATCTCCATGATGGTAAGTACGATATCTTGTCTGTGTCTATAACAGGCCATTTGTAGGCGCTCACTGCAAATGTATTAAATGAATAAATGCTCACAAAAGCGGTTAAACCAATAATTAGTGCTTTATTATCCACCTCAATAGAGGAGAACAGAACCACAGATAATAGAAAACCACAAATTATTTATATTAGTCCACATCATGGCTACGTTTTGGAGACTGGTATAATAAGAATGGCAGCCCTGGAGACCCAGTGAGTCTCCCACGCTGTTTGTTTCTTGATTCTCACTGAAACGAGGGCAGTTCAAAGACAGAATGCAGCAATACACTTTCTTTTCACCTTTTGTGCAAATCTGTGCAGTAGTCTCCTCACCCCCCAGGCATGATCAGCACCACCAAGTCACAAGGTAACCATAAA